AATCTCTCCAATTTCAATACGTTGACCACGAAGTTTTACTTGAAAATCCAGACGTCCCATAAAATGAAGTTCACCATTTTTATCAAATTTAGCCAGATCTCCGGTTTTGTAGCATTTTTCTTTTGCACCTCCCGCCTGAGGAATATTAATTAAACATTTTTCATCTAATTGTCCAGAATTTAAATAGCCAGCAAAAACTCCGTTACCTAAAATAACGAATTTTCAGCATTTGTTTTCTGAGTCAAGGTGAAGCAAACGTTAATGCAGATGCACCGCATAATACAAAAAGAGCATATATTCAAAGGTGTTGTACATTATATTTTGTCATGTGATTAACTACTCGTTACTGCGGATAAACTGAATTAACCAGGGAAGCTCACTAAGTCAAACCCATCACGATTTTTTGCCTAAACAAATTATTAAACTGGCAGATTGTAGAACATATTAAGTTACCTATCTGCAAAACTTTTGGAAACTAATGAACAAGTTTTCATCGAGGTACAAAAGATTCAGTATTCTATCTAGTCAAAATAAGGGTAATTGTGGTATTTGCCTGATAAAAACCTACAACTCGGTGGAAACTTGTTGTTCGGTTAACGCGGGAAGAATTAGCATTGGACATTAGGAAAAGAAAATTCTCAGGTGTTTATGAAAGAACTAAAAGAAATTCCTTTTTTCATGGCGTGTTTTGGAAGAATTTTGCAAGATTCTGTTTTTTCTTGAAAGTTATCGCAAGGTCTACGAGATTTTTTTCAAATCAAAATGATTCTTTAATTATATAAGTAACGTTTATGTGTAATTTACTTAGTTTCTTAGCTGACCTGGCGAGCACCGAAGTATGGCTCTACGCCCTCTCAGTAGTATAATAACATCATAGCGTTGACTCTGACTGATGAAAACGCGTTTGCTTCTAAAGCCAATAATGAACTGGCGTTTTGAGCGCTCTTATGTCTCTTTAACTAACGAGGAAACCTCTCGAGGTGATACAACGCTTTTGCTCGGGATCTAGTCGGTTATAGGTTATCGACCGTGTTGTTTACGAATATCACCGCGGGTGTGACCCTTAGTTCTTCAAAGATCCGATTTTCTAGAAAATCAGTTTTTTAGAAACTCTAAAATATAACCAGAACCTTTCTTAATGAGGTATGATTGTGGCCCGCATATTTCTGATTAAAATGAGACGTCCCCAGCTTTACATGACCTTTCTTTGCAAAGTTACAGACTTCACAAGAAAAGCCCTAAATTAATTTTTTCCGTCTTATTTCTGTAAGTTAGTTTTGAGCTAACAATGAACATCTAATTTTCTTTTAAATTCTATAACTTTGCAAAGAAAGGTCGTGTAGAGCTGGGAGAGGCCTCATTTTAATCAGAAATGTGTGAGCTAGAATCATGTCTTATTTAGAAAGACTCAGGTTAAATTTTCGAGTTTCTGAAAAACAGGTTTTCTAGAAAACCGGACCTTCAAAGCGCTAAGAGCTACCCCCATGGTCATATTCGTAATTAGCATGGCCGATAACCTGTAACCACTATATTCGCAGCAAAAGCGTTTTATCACCTCGAGAGGTTCCCTCGTAAGAGTAGCCGAATAGATAGATCATCAGTAATGAGCTACCTTGCCTAAGACAAAGTTCAATTTACGATTCATTCTGGCGCCTGTTTTGAATCCAAGGAACTTTTATAAATCAGTCAAGGGTCTTCTCTGATTCCTGTAGGCTTCTCTGATCTAAGCATGTACAGAATTTTGTGTCATACACTAGTGTTCTCTATCATGCGCCTTCTGCTACACCCGCCTGCCGGGTGGATTTCGAATTCACACAGGGCTCACTGTTTCTAAACAGTGAGGAGCCGATCCTGGGCTGCCGGTAGCCACCCGTCTTACGTTGAGGCTAGCAACCTCTAGGTAGGACCTTAAACTTCTATTGCTATTGAAAAGAAGAAAAACAACAGTGCCAATGCACAATACCATGTGTTTTTTGGAGGATGGAACGTTCGTTCTTGTGTTAAACAGTCAGAGAAAGAACTTATAATTAAACAATTCAAGAAACATCGAATCTAAATTGCTGCTATTAGTGAAACCTGCATGTATGATTCTGGTACGAAATTAATTCATGACTATACGAGTATTCATTCTGGATTCCCATCTGACAATAAAACTAGAAATGCACATGGTGTGGCCATTTGTCTTGATCAAACAGCCACAAAGGTTTGGAAGGATTCGTGCTCTGAATGGGAGGCAATCTCTGAAAGAATTCTGAAACTTCGACTTAATTTGAGTGAAAGTTAAATTCTATTTGAAAAGTAGAAGGAGATTGATCACCGAGACTAGAGTCCGGTTTCACACTAGTGAAGCCAAAGATAACAATGTGTTAGATTCGTTTCAACGTGATCTCCATCAAACAGCATCTGACGCATCTGATAAAACAATAAGTATTGAAGAGAAATATTTATTGTTTGTGAATTACTTGAAAAAAAATGCTGAAAAACATTTCAAACTAGATAAGAATTCAAATCGAAAAAGGAAAGAATGGCTCTTTGATGAAATACCGAAGTTGGAAGATCAGAAAGCTTTAGCCTTCGTCCAATGGAATAACCATCGAGGCATGAACTCATAGACAGAATATAAAAACATGTACAAACGTCTGAGGACGCTGGTAAAAAGAAAAATTGATGACCGTCAAATTGAGTAGATATGCGAAGAAGGTAAATCATCTGTACAAAGAAATTATCCAGCTATGGCATTCTCTCTCGTTAGACGCTTACGTGGTGGTAGTAAACGAATAGAAAATATGCCAATCAAAGATCGAAATAGCAGTTTAATTTTGAAATCATCGGATCGACCTGAGAGATGGTGAGAATATTTCAGTGAATTACTCTATGTACCATCAACAGTTGATCAACATTTGATTGATGAAATTCAAGTAAAGATATTGACTAAGGAAGACGTAGAGAGACAAAATGCCAATCTAACTGTAGAAGTTAGAAGAGCAGTAAAACAAATGAAATCAAGGAAAGCTCCTGGCAGTGATGAAGTTACAGCAGACATTCTCAAAGCTGGCGGTGAGCCAGTTATTCTCTGGTTGTTTGAGACTTTCACTGATGTGTGGTAGAATGAGGAGATGGTGGAAGACTGGAGCTTGGCCCTTCTTATTCGACTGTATAAGAAAGGTGAAAAACAACTGTAACAATTACAGAGGCATTTCGTTGCTAAACGTAACAAGCAAAATATTTTCTCGTTTAATTTTGAACCGTATTCAAAATATGATTGATCATCAACTATTAGAAGCTCAAGCTGGAGTTAGAGCACAAAGACGCACTATGGATCAGATCTTCACATTAAAAACTACGGTGGAAACGAGAAGAGAGCTCAGTAAACCATTGTTTATCTATCTTATTGATTTCACAAAAGCATATGATCCGGTCAATCGCGAATTACTGTGGAAAGTCTGTTTAAAGTATGGTACGTCAGAGAAAATTGTCACTCTTTTGAAAACGCTGTATAAGAACTCAAGGGCAAAGGCCAGGATTGAAGGTGAACTTTCTGATAGTTTTTTAATTGAAACGGAAGTATTGCAAGGTGGAATTCCATCTCCTATCCTATTCAATGTCCTATTTGACTTTATTATCAGAAAAGTAGTAGAAGAAGCCGGTGTAGATGGTGTTCAGTTTTCGTATGGAAGTAATGATCTTTATCATGATACACGTGAAAATTATGAGAATTTCAATATTTTGGCTTTACTCTATGCTGATGATCTAGTGGCAATGTGTGAAACAGCTGATGATCTTGAGACTTACAAACGACCTTTTGAAAAAGTTACTCAAGAATTTGGGCTGACAATGAGTGTCAGGAAAACATGTATTATGACCTTACAACAGTTCGAAGAAGATCATAACAGAAAGCTTTTAAAAGACAGAGAAGTAGTCTTCCCTGGATTTGACATCACAATTCGGAATCAGAAGATTGAAACTGTTGACTCTTTCAACTACCTAGGATGTCGTGTAACAAGTGACCAAAGACCAGATAGTGGAATCAGTACAAGACTGAGTAAAGTTGCAACGGTATTCAATATGTTGAGACATGTGATTTGGAGCAGGAAAAGCATTCCAATCAAGTCGAGACTAAAAGTGTTTCGTGCCTGTGTTCTCCGTGTCTTATTGTGTGGAAGTGAAACGTGGTCTATCACAAGTGCACATGAACGTAGAATAAACACCTTTTATATGAAATGCCTACGTACAGTCATTGGTGTGAATTTAGGCGATAGAATGCCAAATGAAAAGATCTTAGAAATCACGGGACAGCCACCAATTTGACATTCATACTTCCCACAAGAGAAACGCCCTTGAAACGCTGGCATAAGAAAGAGGTGGGAAGTAGGGATGCACCGAGACGGGGTACTCGATACCCGAGACTTTAGTCTCGATTAGTCCCGAGTCTCGAAAGTTTCGCTCTCGAATAGTCTCGATATAAAAGTGCCGGTAGCAAAACTTTCCGAGACGTTTTCTAGACTATTTTTTTTGTTCTGTATAGAAGATTTCTTTGGTGAAATATGTCCTGGACGTAATGTCGAAAGACATTTTTTTGTAGTAGATATTTTGTATGGTAGCTTTTTCGATACTTTTAATCACTAAAAGTGAATACTTCATGTAGCGTATAAAGTTAGGTAACTAAGCGTTACTTATTTTAGTTTTCCCAGAATAATTCAGTTAAAATGAAATAAAAGAGCATATCACTATCGTCGTAGTTATTCGGACT